AACCATCAGCTGATCTAATGAATCGAAACTGTTTCTAGCAATTTGGGCAATATTGTTATTCTAAATAAAGAAATATTGCTCTATTGGAGCAAAAACAACGGAATGAAAGATACCTGGATACTAATCAGTTGACTTAAGTTCAGCCTCTTTCAGTTACCGGAGCTGAAAGACTTGACTAGTCTCAGGCAAGTCCGCCTGGACGGGAATTTGATTGAGAAGATTGAGACACTCGCTTTCTCTAACAATCCAAACCTTCAACTGATCAGTATCCAGGTATCTTCCATTCCGTCGTTTCACTCCAATAGAGCAATATTTCTTTATTTAGAATAACAATATTGCCCAAATTGCTAGAAACAGTTTCGATTCATTAGATCAATTGATGGTTCTGCTATTGTCGAACAACTCCATACAGTCCATAGGTGGGGTTTTCCTCTATTTTTTCATTTTGTTTTCATCGTAACCGGTCTCCTTGGCAACAAGGGTCGGCCTGGGATCGTATGAGAGACTCTTGAGACGCTCGAGGTCCACAGCTGTCACAAGCACCCTCGTTAATGGGAGCAGCGAGCGCTTCCGAAAGTCTGGGGTACACTCTCAAGGAGGGCGTAACGTGGCTGCTTTCGCAGGTCAGGCTAAATTCGAGAAAATCGTCGAACAACGGACCATGTTGGGCTCCAGTAATTCAGTTTGGTGTCACTTGTACCAGTTGTACCCCGTAGGGTATACCGATTGCTCGAGCGGGTTTTCAATAACGTCTCCATTCGTCCTTGTAACAGTTGCGACCTTGAAGACGCGCTAAACGCTAATTCATAAGTGATAATGACCGAGTGGTGTAAGTGTATTGGGCGGGTGTTAACTGCATTTTTATTCAGCAGTTTTTGCTTTGCTTTAGAGAGAGGAATGCTAGACGGGATGCGAAATCTGCAACAACTGAATCTGCGCAATAACTCTTTGACGTCAGTGGATGAGAACACTTTCGCTTCGCTGCGATTCATGACGACTCTGGATTTAGCTCATAATAGCTTGACCAAAATCGCCAAGGTATTTTTCCCCACCCTATTGGATCTGATAATGATAAGGTGTTGACATTTTGCACTTTCAGAGGACATTTTCACATCAGACGAAGTTGTTTTGGTTGGATTTATCGAATAATCAGCTGACTGGTTTTGAAGAAGGCACATTCGACACAAAAATCGCTAACCTTCTTCTAGATGGTATGGTTAACCTTTGATGATTGGTTTAGGTGATCTCTATAGGTACCACAAATGGGGAAAATGTCGTTCTTTTCTTCAATGCAAGTATCGCCTTGTTCCGCGCGGACGCTGGCTGGGGCATGTCAAGTATTCTGGGTGTGGCTGGGCGCCATCCTGTTGAGCAACTATTGTGGAAGCTGGCAGGCCAGAAGGTGGAAAACTCAGTCCACTTGACACGCCCCAACGTCCGCAATTTGAAAAGACTGTTGGATCTTCGTCATAGCTGTCAAGAGATGATTCAAAAGGGCTAAAGAGATCCTGTGTGATTTGCGGGCGGTTGTCCACAGTCGAGAATTCTCAAAGCGTTCCCAGGTTTGCTCCTCCACATAACTGAGCGTATTTCCGGCAATTCGAAGCGAACGGTATGCATTTACCAGTCATACCTTTAGAACGCTAG